CAAGACGAATTTTTTTTTAAATCTACTCTCACATGCATATTAACAAGTTGCATACAAAGGAAAATGGGAAATTCCAGAACTCCCATATGCCTTCCCTGGTCCAAACTTCCCCCATGCTGGAGCGCCGCCAAGTACTCTTCAGAGCTTAACCTAATTTACTTCGGTCCAGTGTCTGATTTTTTTTTATACCGTCGGGGGCCTTTAGACGCCCCGAGCTCCAGTCAGGGGATTGAGCTGCTCCCCAGGGCCCACCAGAGACCTGAACCCCAGGAGCTTGGAAAAAGCATTGGTGCCTAACAATGGTAATTAGCAAATGACCTTTCCTGTCCCGAGGTCAGCGACCTGGGCACCCCCCGCTCTCCGCCCCGCTCTCCTGGGCTCCCTCCCGCCCGCATCCCAGTGGCCTCCAGCGACCAGCGGGGCGGGGGCACCCAATGGGCCTGGGCTCGCGCCTGTTGCCCGCTGCCCTTGCACGGCCGAGGCCAGTTCTCCAAGACAAGGGTCAGGGGGTGGGGGGCGGCGCAGAGGCAACTGAACCTGGCTCCTGCACAAGGGCGGTTTCTCCCGGTCCTTCCCGCTCAGGCATCTCCGGCAGCTGGACGCCTCCCCCGTGCACCCCTCACCGCGGCACCTCGGCCCCCGCACCCCGGCCCCTGCCGCCCAGGCCCGCAGCCCCGCGCCCCGCCCCCGGGACCGCCGAGCGCCAGGCGCGGGGGGCGGGGCCCGAGGCCCAGGACACGCCCCCGGGCCGGCGATGCCCCGCCCCTCCTGGCGAGGATTGGCCGTGCCTGCGGGAGGCCCGCCTCCGCCCGCCTTGCCCCGCCCCCTGCCCCGCCCCCTCTCACCGCGCCGCCGGGACCCGGACCCCGGGCGGGGAGTCGCGGGCGAGCAGCGGACGGCGGGCCGCGGGCTGCGGGCTGCGGTGAGCGGGGCCGGGCGCGGGGGCGGCGGCGGCCCGGGCTGGGAGTGCGCGCGGCGCCGTCGGGGCTGCGGGGCCTCGGGGCGCGAGGCGGGGCTGCGGGGGACGCGGGGGCCCGGGCCGGAGGGGGCGCTCTGGGACGGCGGCCGCTCCCCCCCCCACCCCGGGGCCTCCGGGCGCCTCCTGGGGCCTCCGGGCGCCGCGGGCCGCTGTCGCCGCGCGGGTCTCGGTCGCGCAGCCCGGGTCCTAGCTCTCGCCCCCCCCCCCACCCGCCCCGGCCTCGCAGGCCTCCGCGGGCGCCGCGCTCGCCGTCGGCTCGGGATCCGCGGGGAGAAGGGTTTGCGCCGACTTCTCAGCGCTCCTGTCGGCGGCGGGCGGGGAAAGAGGAGACTTAACTCTGCAGAGGAGGGCGGGCGACCGGGGAGGTAACTGCCCTCGGGCAGCCCGGGGGCGCGGCGGGGCTCGCCGCCTGCAGCCCGGGGCGTGACCCTGGAGACCCGGGATCGAGGCCCGCGCGGGCTCCTGCCTGGAGCCTGCTTCTCCCTCTGCCTGGGTCTCTGCCTCTCACTCTCTCTGTCTCTCTCTCTCTGTCTCTCATGAATATCTAGATACGTAAAAGTTTAAAATGTAAAACGTTTGGGGATCCCTGGGTGGCTCAGTGCTTTAGAGCCTGCCTTCAGCCCAGGGCGTGATCCTGGGGTCCTGGGATCGAGTCCCGCGTCGGGCTCCCTGCATGGAGCCTGCTTCTCCCCCTGCCTGTGCCTCTGCTTCTCTCTCTCTCTCTCTCTCGAATAAATAAATAAAATCTTCAAAAATAAAAAATAAATAAAACGTTTATGTGTCAAGACAGATTTTTCTTTCATTTATTTTCTCGTCTTTTTATCCTAGGATATACAATTCAGGTGTATAAGATTTTACACCTGAGATTTTATTTATTTATACATGAGAGACACAGAGAGAGAGGGAGAGAGAGAGAGAGAGAGGCAGAGACACAGGCATAGAAAGAAGCAGGCCCCACGCAGGGAGCCCGACGTCGGACTGGATCCTGGATCCCGGGATCACGCCCTGAGCTGAAGGCAGACGCTCAACCACTGAGCCACCCAGGCGTCCCAATTCAGGTGAGTTTTTAACTTTTTATTGCATGTTTGAAATATAGCTACCAAAAAAAGTACAGATGAAGATATTAGGCATTAAGGTTGATTTCCCAACTACTTAAAAGAGTATAGATTTAATATTTTACCCAGTTGTCTTGGTTAATCTTGAAAGACCAGCCTGGTTTCCATTAGACTTGGGAAAGCCAAGGATGCTCATCAAGACACTCAGTGAAGTTATTGTGAATTCCATGGGCCAGTGACCTTAGGCAAGAGAGCACATTAACTTTCTGATTAGGAAAAAGACACAAAATTATTTTTTCTTTACATATGATGTGATTGTGTGTTTTGAATGTCTATAGGAAACAACTGGAAATATCAGAAAAAAATTTTAAGTGTCCAATTGCATCCAACCATAACTAATAGATATATCAATGGATGTTCTGTACATTAAAAAAAATGGAACATAATAAACCATTCAATTTAGCATGGAATAACATGTAACTGAAAAACCTATTAAAAAGTTAACCTCTTACAGATGTGAGAATACATTGAATGTACAGGTAAAAATGCAATAAAATGCATAACATTTTCCTAAAGATATAATTTCTCTAAGATACTATATATATTTAATTGCTTTCTAACTTAATTTTTTTGTATCTAAGTCAGCTGTTTGTTTAGCTTACGTAGAAAGACAGTATATATATTTTACTACATAATAAATAGGTATATCAAGCTATAGTGATTAAAAGACAGTGGAATACGGAATAGACCAGGCAAATCAATGAAATTAAAGAGACAGATTTTAGAATAAAAGGAATGCTGCCTTTTTTTGTAAACGTGCATTTTAAATCAGGTAGTGGGGAAGAAATTACATGTAATTGATCATGCTTAAATAATCAGGTATTTATTTTGGAAAACTAATAATAAAACTGGAACTCTCTCTCACTCTTAGCACATGAATGTGATCTAGATGACTTATTAATTTAAATCTAAATGTAAGAAACCTAAAAGTAAAGAAGAAAACCTGGAAGAGTTTGTGAGCATGGCCTGTGGGTAAAGCGTTTTTGAAAATTGATACAAAAAACTACAGCCTATTTATTTAAGCACAGGACTCCTACTAACATTTGTATGCAGAAAACATACAAAGAGAGGAATGGTTAACAGGAAAAGAGCTAATTATAATAATATGCCTAGAACTCTTATTAATGACTTTTAAAATCAGCAATCCAATTTGAGGATACAAAGAGTCCATTCAAAGCAAGAGAAATGCAAATGAGAAGAAGACTCAGCCAGGCTAATTATCTGAAAAATGCAATTAAAGTAAGAGTTTTTGCATGTTTTACTAATTTTGAAAGTCGGATAATACTCAGTATTGTTGATAATGTGATGAGAGAAATACGGTATAACAAACTCTTTGTAAAAATGTATTGGTAAAACTTTTTTATGGTGATATCAAGCTATTACATTTTTCGAATTTCATTCACTTACTGGAATTTGTCATTCTCCTAAGCGTGCAAATAAAAATCTCTGTCGAAGATATTCACAGTAGTACTGTTTGTAATACAGAAAACTTGGAAATGGTTTCATAACCATTGATTGGGATTTGGTTACATAATTTATGGTACGTCCGGGGGGGGGGGGGGATAATGTAAAGTTTAAAACATTTGATAGCTCTAGATGTTGTAAAGTGGAAATGTGTCCAAAGTATAAGAACACAAAAAACAAGTTGAAACACAGTATATATATATATATATATATATAATATATATATATTATATATATATAATATATATATATACAGTAACATTTTTGTAAATAGTTTTGAACATAGACTGAATTATGTGTGTTCATGTTCTCTTAGTTGTATAATGTATAACTGTTTAAGGAAAAAGTGATGTTTTTATAATAGGAAAAATAATAACTTGAAAGTGTAACTAGTAATTTATATAGAGTAACTTCTATCTGGGCATATTAGTTATCATTTAATGTAGAAAGACATTTTCTTTCATACAGCTTTCCATGTTCTCTTCATTTACTTTGGTTTTGAATGTTCTCTTTCAGCTTCTTCCTTTGAAAATCCCTTCCTTTACTTGCTTTCTTAATATTAGAGCTAGGATGTTTCTTAGAGGCACACAACTGAACTTTTGCCTGAGGGATTTCACAGCCTGTTAACACTTTTATAAACAAAAAAATGCAGGAATGTTCATGCTCTTTATGTATTTCAGCAGCATTGTACTTAAATTAAAATTAACCTTTACAGTACTTCAGAATGAGAGAGCGATGCTTAAAAAAGAAAAATACAATTAGACTACAAAAGCAAAAAAGAATGTATGTATGGCAAAAATGCAGAAAAAATAAATGGCAAGTTTGGGGGGAAATTCTTAAATTCTAATAGTATTTGTATAAATAACAAAAAGAAAATCTCAAAAAATAGACAAACAGAAAAATGGACAAATGATAGTTCACAGAAATGGAGATGCAAATGTCAGCCCCGGTTGGGGGGGGGGAGGGGGACGGAGCAGAGGAAAAGGGAGAAGTAGATTCCCTGATGAGCAAGCAGATGGGCAGAGAGCCCACCTGGGGGCTCAATCCCAGGCACTCTGACTTGAGTGGAAGGCAGCCGCTTAATGGACTGAGCCACCCAGGTGCCCCAACAAATTATTTTAAACATAATAAAAACTCAACTCCCTAATAAGATATGGAACATAAAAATGTACCTTTCAGATTGTTAGTTACAAAAATGTTGATAAACATATTAGTAATCTAAGACATTTTTTAAATTTTTTTTTTAGTTTTTATTTATTTATGATAGTCACAGAGAGAGAGAGAGAGAGAGGCAGAGACACAGGCAGAGGGAGAAGCAGGCTCCATGCACCGGGAGCCCGACGTGGGATTCGATCCCGGGCCTCCAGGACCGTGCCCTGGGCCAAAGGCAGGTGCCAAACCACTGCGCCACCCAGGGATCCCTAAGACATTTTTGTCTCACATGAATCTATTTAAATTCTTTGGAGTAGTTTGATAATTATGTCGGAATACAAATGCACAAAAGCTTGATACAGCAGTTCTCCCCCCAGTAATTTAATACAGAGGTACACAAAATATGTTTAAGTATATGTAAGTCTATTTTGGTAAGTTTTTAATTGCATGTATTAGGAAACAGTTTAAATTTTCATCATTAATAGGCCAATTAAAACTGACAGTTGAATGGGGGGATGAAAAAGGTGATGGGGATTAAGGAGTGCATTTGTGATGAGCACAGGGTGTTGTATGGAAGCGTTCAATCAATATATTGTATACCTGAAACTAATGTGATAGTGGATGTTAACTAACTGGAATTTAAGTAAAAGCTTTAAAAAAAATAGGCCAGTTAAATAAACTGGTACAGCCGTTCAAAAGAGTAAGGTTATATGAATTGTAGTCAACATCCATACATTTTAGCAAATGAAGAAACAAAATACAGAAAAGTTCATAGAAGATTGTCATTTGTATTAAAAGGCATATGTATTAGTATATAATTAGAAAATCTCTTAGAAGATAAAAATTCTACCTATGGTTGCCTTTTGAAATGGGAAATGGGATCTAGATAGGAGGGATTTTTACTTTTCATGGGTATGGATATATGTACTCATTGGCTGCTTGACTAATTCTACTGTTTGTTTGCAGATAATGCCTATTTTAAAATCCATTCTTATAAATGTAAGGTTTCTTATTGAAATGATTTAATTGTAGGTCCGTATGCCAGCCTGATCTGTTGTAGTTTTTGATACTAGAAGACTAGCCAGAAAATGATGAAATAAGGCATTTTCCTGTAATCTCCCAGGTATCATAATTGTCATGATAATGGTTCCTTAAATGTATGGTATAAATACTGTGATAATAATACTCTTCTGATATTTTTTGTACTCCAAGTAACAAAAATACTCCCCCCACACACGCTTTTTTAAAGATTTTATTTACTTATTCATGAAGAGACACACAGAGAGAGGCAGAGACAGGCAGAGGGAGAAGCAGGCTCCATGCAGGGAGCCTAATGCGGGACTCGATCCCAGGACCCCAAGATCGCGACCTGAGCCAAAGCCAGACACTCAACCACTGAGCCACCCAGGCACCCCAACATTTCCCCCTTTAAAGCTAGAATGGAAAGGCCTAATACTCCTTTTAAACAATTTAATTTGTTTAATAAAAGCTATTTATGAACTGTGGCTATCACTTTGCTTCCATTTAATCTCATTCATTCATTTGAAAAGAAAGCTAAATCACCAACCTCTAAGATTCTTCTCTGCTAAAAAGAAGAAGGAATGGTTTAGAAGGAATCATGGTGTGACTAAGATAAATATGTTTATATGTTATGAAAACATAAATTGGTTAGAGTTTGCCAACGTGTTTATTTGTTCCTAGTGAAAATCACAGTTTCTATGAAGTTTTTCGTAGGGCCGATTTCATGTAAAGATATAATTAAGTAAATAGATGTTCTACAAATATTCTTAATGAGAGACTCTGTGCGTCTTTGGGACATTTCTACTACTTATTTCATCACAAAGTAACAAGCCTAGGTTTATCTTGTTAGTGCAAGCCTCTGTAATTGCTTTTTGAATAGGACAGTTTCTTAATTCTTGCTATGTGCCAGCAACCTATTAAGTTGCCAAGGTGTGGAACAGGAAGTGACTGAATTCTTCACAGTCATTGAACTTCAAATCCATTCATATTGGGTCCACTCTCCAGTTTCCTCATAATCAAGAAACCCATAAAACTAATCAACACAATTACATATACTTCCAGGAGCCAAGATTTTGGCTTAAAGTCTATAAAGAGAATTGTACTTGGAAGTGTGTATAAAACATTTCATCTTTGGTGAACTTGAGATCTAACTAGTTACAGACACACTATAGAGAATATATTGTTCAATTTTATTTTTTTTCAATTCAGGTTATAAAATCTATTCGATTATATTCCTTCTACGAGAATGAGAATGTATCACTTAAAACTTTTGCAGCATATTTTGGATTTCTTTTGAACTTCAGAAAAAATTTATTTGGGTTTACAGATAAGATTTGAGGAAAATTTTGGATAAATATTGCATTAGTGAATTGAAGATTTAATTGAGTTTATTAAGATATGAGTCCTTTCAAAGATGGATTTTTACTTGGAAACGGGTGTTGTAGATCTGTAATTGTGGATGGTGTGTGTGTGTGTGTGTGTGTGTGTTGAGAGGTATATCAGAATCACCTGGGAAATAGTTTCAAACCTCATACACTTAGAGAAAGAAGTGCCCTAGATTTGCGTTTCTCAAAGTGTGATCCTAAATCAGCAGTGTCAGCATCACCTAGTCTCATACGTTCTGTGGCATATTTGGAATAGTTACAAATTTCTTTTATACACCTGCTCCTTCCTTGAGAATTACTGTATTTGATTGCTGAGGTATAGAATTTTTGTAGAAAGGAATTTTGAAATCGATTTGTTCAGACTTTCATGTCTTTAGGCCTAACACATACTTGTCTGTATGTGTTCAAGAAGCTCTCTTTATGGGATCCCTGGGTGGCGCAGCGGTTTGGTGCCTGTCTTTGGCCCAGGGCGCGATCCTGGAGACCCGGGATCGAATCCCACATCGGGCTCCCGGTGCATGGAGCCTGCTTCTCCCTCTGCCTGTGTCTTTGCCTCTCTCTCTCTCTCTGTGACTATCATAAATAAATAAAAAAATTTAAAAAAAAGAAGCTCTCTTTATGAAATATTTGCATAGTTTTTTTTTTTCAATTTCAGTGTGACGAAAATTTTGGAATTTTTACAGTCACAATAACAAAATGGACCATAGTATTTAATTACGTATTCAGCAGTGGGGGGCACTTGACGGGATGAGCACTGGGTGTTATGCTATATGTTGGCAAATCGAACTCCAATAAAAAAAATTACAAAAAAATCGAACTCCAGTAAAAAATATACAAAAAAATAACATATTCAGCAAATTTGACTTTCTTAAATATTCTTAATGTTGAATTAAGGCAAAGAAATGTCTACATTTATTTTCTAAATGTTAACATCAAATGGTGAGTTAATTTCTGGAAAATTTTTATAGGAAAGTTACATATCTTGTTAATCTTTTAAAAATTTCTATGTAGGGGGATCCCTGGGTGGCGCAGCGGTTTGGCGCCTGCCTTTGGCCCAGGGCGCGATCCTGGAGACCCGGGATCGAATCCCATATCGGGCTCCCGGTGCATGGAGCCTGCTTCTCCCTCTGCCTGTGTCTCTACCTCTCTCTCTTTCTCTCTCTGTGACTATCATAAATAAATAAAAATTAAAAAAAAATTTCTATGTAGAAATTGAATAGCATTTATTTACTTTTGAAACATTCTAAAAAATACTGTATCTTTCTAGGCTGTGTATTTTGGATAGTTGCTATAAAAGGAATCATACAGTATGTGGTCTCTTGTGACTGACTTCTTTCACTCAGTTAATGTTTTCAAGGTTTATTCAAGTTGTACTATGTATTATACTTTATTACCATTTATGACTGAACAATATCCCATTATAGGGATATATCAGTTTTCAGAGTTTAACTATTCATCTGTTGGTAGACATATGAGTTGTTTCTTTCTTGGCTACTTTGAATAATGGTGCTATGTACATGTTTTTGTGAAAATGTTTTTCTTTCTCTTGAGTATGTACCTACAAATAGAATTGCCGGGTCATGTGTTTATGTTTAATCTTTCACACTGTTTTCTAGAACAGCTGCACCATTTTACATTTCCATAAGCAGTGAATGAGGGTTTCCAGTATCTCCTCATATTTGCTAACACTTGTTATCGTCTGCCTTTTTGATTATAGCTATCTTAGTAGATGTGAAGAGTTCATTGTAGTTTTGATCTGCATGCCTTTGATGACTGATGATGTTGAGAATCGTTTTATGTCCTCATTGGCGTTCATATATCTTCCTTAGAAAAGTATCCAAATTCTTTTGGCTATTTTTCAGTTAGGTTGTCTTTATTACTGAATTCTGAGTGTTCTGTGTTCCAGAAAAAAACTCCCTTACCAGATATATGATACATAAATATTTTATCTCATTCTGTGGACCTCTTTTTTTTTTAATTTTCTCAATGGTATTTTTGAACCACAAACTTAATAAAACATGATAAAGTCTAATTTATTTCTTTTCTGTTGTTATGCTGTTGGTGTCATATTTGTGAAACCATTTCCAAACCCAAAGTGATGATGATTTATTCCTATTTTTCTTTTAAAATTTCTTAGTTTTACCTAAGGTTTATGGTCCTTTTTGACTTATTTTGTATGGTATGTTGTAGGGATCCAAATTCATTCTTTTGTATATGTATATACAGTTTCCCCAATACTATTTGTGGAAAAGACTATTTGTTCTTCATTGAATGGTCTTGGCACCCAAATTGGTATATTTGTCTGTCATAGGCCAGTACCATACTATTCAGATTACTGTAGTTTTGTAGTAAGTTTTTAAAAATTTACTTATTTTCATTTTTTTTCAAATTCTTATTTAAATTCTAGTTAGTAACATATAGTTAATATTGATTTCAGAAGTTGAATTTAGTGGTTCATCACTTACATATAACACCAGTGCCCAATACAAGTGCCCTCAATGCCCATTACCCATTTAGCCCATCCCCTGCCCATTTCCCCTCCATCAACCCTATTTATTCTCTGTAGTTAGGAGTCTCTTATGGTTTGTTTCCCTCTCTGTTTTTTTCTCTCTCCTATATGCTCCCTGTTTTGTTTCTTAAATTCCACATGTGAGTGAAATCATTCTGGTATATTGTCTTTCTCTGACTTATTTTGCTTAGTATAATACAGTCTAGCTCCATCCACATCATTGGAAATGGCAAGATTTCATTCTTTTTGATAGCTGAGTAATATTCCATTGTGTACATATACCACCTCTTCATTCATCAGTCAGTGGATATTTGGGCTCTTTCATAATTTGGCTAGTGTTGATAATGCTTCCGTAAACATTGGGGTGCATGTGCCCCTTTGAATCAGTATTTTTGTATCTTTTGGGTAAATACTTAGTAGTGCAATTACTGGATCATAGGGTGTTCTATTTTTAACTTTTTGAGGAACCTCTGTACTGTTTTCCAGAGTGGCTGCACCAGTTTGCATTCCCACCACCGTTGGGAATGCACAGTGTAAGAGGGCTTTCCTTTCTCTGTATCCTCACCAATATGTGTTGCTTCCTGTGTTCATTTTAGCCATTCTGACAGCTGTGAGTTGATATCTCATTGTGGTTTTGATTTGTATTTCCCCAATGATGAGTGATGTTGAGCAATTTTTTTTACTTGTGTGTTGAACATCTGGATTTCTCTTTGGAAAAACTGGAGTAAGTTTTAAAATCAAGAAGTATGAGTCTTCCACCTTTGTTCTTTGTCTTCAAGATTATTTTAGCTGTTGCAATTTTCTTTTCGTTTCTATATGAATTTTATGTTTAGCTTGTCAGTTTCTAAAAAATTATGGGTTTTTCACCATTTGCTTCAACATGGGTGGAACTGGAGGGTATTATGCTGAGTGAAATAAGTTACTCGGAGAAGGACAAACATTATATGTTCTCATTCATTTGGGGAATATAAATAATAGTGAAAGGGAATATAAGGGAAGGGAGAAGAAATGTGTGGGAAATATCAGAAAGGGAGACAGAACATAAAGCCTCCTAACTCTGGGAAACGAACTAGGGGTGGTGGAAGGGGAGGAGGGCGGAGGGTGGGGGTGAATGGGTGACGGGCATTGAGGGGGGCACTTGACGGGATGAGCACTGGGTGTTACTCTGTATGTTGGCAAATTGAACACCAATAAAAAATAAATTTATTA